CGAAGACAAACGAAATTAAATTACAGTAAACGAAAGTGCAATTTAAGTGTGAAAAGTGCGTCAGTTTACTATTTATTATGAGTGCGTTATCAGTTTCATATTAAAAATATACTATCAAAACATTTGTACGACAACTTTAAAGTATTAGTTTTGTTAATTTCAATGTGTTAGGCTTTCAGCTGCAAATTATAATGAGAAAACATTTTTAATTTAATTTATCTATGTCTTCGCATAACCCATAAATGTGGCAGCATTTTCTACATATTAGGGTAGTAGACTCTAAAATCGCCCCTTGCAATGCTGCATAAAGAAGTTCAGTGCGTACATTTTATGTCAACATCTCTTGTACTTTACCCTTGTGCGAACTCTCTGAAAAGATCCTTCCATACTTTGATAGGACGTCCCGGTTTGGATCTGTTTTAAGTCTCTTGTGGGTTTCCTGTTGGTGTGGAAAGAATATCTCTGTTCTGTGTCAAAACATTAATAACTTCATCAGAAAATGGAATCCTGTTGTGACAAGCCACGAGTTATTTTCTTTAGAAACCCGGCAAACACGTGTTTACGTTCTTATAACGTTCTTGGCGAATGTTGTGGTTAGGTATGACACAAAATAACGTTTACACAACGTTGTAGGAACGTGCAAACTTTGTGAAATTATGTTCAGTATGTATTTATGGTTCTACAAAATAAAGTTTTCAACACAAAACTGTAACGTTATTGTTACGTTATCATAATGTACTATTGTTTGCTGGCAAGGTCGTTACTACTCTCGTAGTAGCTCACCTCTTTTCAAGGTCTTGGATGTGTTTTGAATAAAGTTAAAAACAATTGACAACTAGATATAGGCCTGCTTGTAGATATCTTCATTATGATATATGATATTTGGATTTAATAAAGTATTCTAAACAGCAACGAAATATTAGAAGATTTGTTACTGTTAAATCACGAGCAGTTTGTCAATTTTTGGAGTGCTTTTCCCACGCTTTGCATGAACTGGTTGAGTGGACGCGCGTACATCCCTCTGATTTGCGGTTTGCTCTAATTAACTTGTGTCTCAAATGTATGAAAACAAGACTGATAAAAGTGCGTCTAGCTCGCAAAGTTGCAAAAAGTAGCAGCTAAATTTGGTACCATCATAAAGCTAAGGCTATACTGAAGAGGCGATATAAAAATTAAAGCATGAATCCACATGAATCTAAACTTTCTCTCCTACTTTTCTAAAAATAGATTTTTAAATATTTTTTCTGTCGTTTAAACAACGATTCATTATTGATGCAAACTTCAAATTTAAACCAAAACATATATTTGTGTTCCCCAATTTATATACAAGAATCGTGTGCATTTTGAAGTAATTCCGAATTTTCTGTAAGAAAAAAAAATGTGTTTTGATATAATGTAGTCAATTATAGCATTTGAAATATTTATAGATAAATTTCCGACATTTACAAATTTCGGAGGTTTAGCGTACTATACGCGAAAAATTCAAATTCGGAGTTTTCAGACTTTCAATCAAACCTCCGATTTCGGAGTTTCTGCGTAATAAACGCAAAAACTCCAAAATCGGAGTTAAAAAACTTTCAATCAAACCTCCGATTTCCCAGTTTCTGCGTAGAAGCTCTTTCTATATTAGGAGACAGCAAAACTTTTAATTAACCCTCCGATTTCGAGGTTACGCGAATACTCCAAAATCGGAGTTTTCAAACTTTAAACCAACCCCCAGAATTCGGAGGTTTTTTGTACTAAAAACCTTTGTGGAGGCTAAAAGTACTTCATTATACTGATTACACACCTACACATTTAACTGTTAAAGGCCAAGTGCGGGTTTGAAATAACTAATGTTTAATATAAAATAGGGGGATGGGCGACCACAAAGAAGGTGATGTCACCTGATTTTGGAACGCGGTATTCGAAAACGAGGCTCGTGAACTGGGTCCCAAAAACGAAGTTGTGTTACAGGATTTTGAGATTGGGAATTTGATAAAAATGGACAAATTTTCAAATGCTTGCATTCAGTAACCCCATAACAAAATCATCTAACGTTTTTGAATTCTTTCTGTATTTTTCCCGAACTCAAGAAAGGGTAAATAAGCAGTACCGGTATATGAAGACTTATTTTAAACCCGCACTTGGCCTTTAACAGAAATTTAAGACACAATAAAGGACAAACACATTTTCCCTATTTTAATACAGGTCTACTTCAAAGCATAAAAGAATTAAAAATGAAAGCAACTATAATACAGACATATTTCAGCTTTCAGTCCAATTTGAACAACGAATATTTTATATTGACCTAGATCATTTGATACACAATAAAAATCGTTTAAAAGTACGAACTCATTTGATTCACTGATAGTGAAAAAATTGTGAAAACGAAGTGAAATCTTGTACTCTGACAGCGGACTCAACAGGCCAGGAATACGCGCGTCTAACAAACACGCGTTTTATCCCACGTTTTTGCGTATGTTTTAGCCATGGAGGTATTATTGAGAAATTAATTCATTCATTTTCAGTTTTACGCTGACTTAGCTTTATAGTCGAACCAATCTATTTTTAGACAAAATTATAATGAACACAGAAGTAATTTTAACAGAAATATTCTACGGAATCTGTTCCTCAAATATACAAAATATAACATACTAGAAGTCCGAAAAAATCCAATCAGGGGAACATTCTTTATAAAGATATTTAATAGGTTAAAATCAAACGCTTTATTGCACAACTGCTCTGCTGAAAGCGTATAAACGCATGTCGTTGCCAAGTTGTTGCTAACGAAAAAATGTGAACTACAGGCATAGGCCTAGAGCGATTAAACAATTATTCTTATTATATTATATATATGTATTCTTATTATAGGGCCTATCTCTATGATTATAGGGTAAAACGCCCGCGCGCGATTCAAAGGCAGGGAACACATTGGTTTGTCGCGTCAAAGGGATCTGTTGCCAAGTGATCTTCTCAATAATACCTCCATGGTTTTAACACTCATTCTGTGGGACCTTAGCAACAATATCCAAGGGGCGGGGCTAAAAGGAAAGGTCATTCTCAGCTTGCAACATCATCACAACCAAAAATAATTATATATAAAAAAAAAAAGCATACTTGGAAGGGTCTTTACCAAAAACAAACTTTTACAAGAAAGGAAACAGTTCTTGTAATGTGTTGTTATTTATGTATGCTTTTTTACCAGCAACACTCCCATAGTAATATTATGTTGTCATCATATCTTAAAAAATGAAAAGATCATAAACATAAAATATATACAAAGCTTGTGAAATCTATAAGGTAGACATTTTATTCATGATACACACATTGGCACAAAACAATCCAAAGATTCTTATATAATCAATAAAAATTAATTCAAAGTGCATAAAATTTAACAGAGAATTTGCCATTAAAATATATTTTTTACAATAAAATAATTAGGCTTGTCATTTGTGCCATGTGGAAAACGCATTATTTCATATATTTAAAGATAAGAATGCTAGCTACACTTAAAATGAGAAAAAGTTTTATGTAGGCCTATGTATGCTATCTATCATTAATAAATACCTTACCAAGGCCTGTGACAATTTTTGTATGTGTGTAATGACAACCAACAATTTGGCAAATTTGTAGAGAGAGTGGTATCAGAAAACGAAATATGGCCAATCTGTTTCTATTTGTTCATGTGTTAAGCCTATTCAACTGTAAGATGTTAGTGTTCCTCCATATCTAAGCATAACAATTTTTGGATGTTGCACTTTTGTATACAGTATTGTTTCCTTATAAAGGATGAAATTGGGCCTAGTAAAAACTTATTGTAAGTTTCTATTTTGAAAGGGACCCTCCCACAATTCGGTGCCATGGTCAGTGTGCTTTTGCAACTAATTTTGAATAAGGCCATCATTTGGCATTGATAAGGTTTACCTTCTTCAAATAGTGATGTTGACTTCTTATTTTATAGAAAAATGTATCTATATGTTTTTTGGGTCCACTGCTGTTCTTGTTCTTATTACCAAAACTTTAAAAGTGTCCAGTGTCGCCAGTTTTGAAGGGAGGTGCAGAAAATTTTGTACACATAAACTTTCCGACTAACATTCATTGCCCATTTTGAAGTTGGACCCCAGGGTTCCCCCTACACCCACAAAACAAAACAGGGTTTTCAGCAAGGCCTGCACATTTCTGCCATTACCACTAATAGGGCACGTCGCATGGATGGCACAGTCGGTTAAGGATGCATTCTAAAGAACTTAATGTTGTGAGTTCAAATCGAGTCTTGGTATTCAATTTTTTTCCAATTTTAAGATATTTTAATTTGTACAAACGAATACTCTAAATAATAATTTTTTTTACAAATAAACACTCTAATTATTAAAAAATTTCTATCTTATTAGCTCTTCCAAAAAACCCACAATAATAATTTGCGTCTGTACCGTATTTAAGCGTGGAGGAACGCGCGGACCGGTGAGCGGTCACTGAAGACACACGGCTCCCGCTGGGAGCTTATTATTTTTTATTGTGGGCAATAATAGTTACCTTTAAACGTGGAAACCAGATAGTGTACCACATATGTAATTTTATAATACTGTATTAAAAATAATTCGTTCATTCATTGGTACATACTGTATATACAGAATAGTTACATGTTGGAATAATCTCCAGAGACTTGTTGACATGTAATCCTGCATGTGTAGAAAGGAAACTCACTGAAACGAACTCAACTATGATGATGTTAGAGAATAAAAAGCAGCCTATTATCAGAAACATATATTTTGCTAACAGTTTTAAGAATTAAATAAAAAAATTAAATTTGATTTGATTTAATCATTGTTATTAACTTTGTTTATTGACAATATTGTTTTAAATTTCAGAAATGTTGTTTTAATATTTTATGTTTCAATTTGTAAATTATGCTATCTTGATTTTAAGATATTTTGTTTTAATATTGGGTTGTATTAATTGGCTTGTAATACATGCAGTCAATTCTACATTATGCTAACTGCTTTGTATGTTTTATACTAATATTAAATAAAATATAACTTACGCCTTTGGCACCATCAATAATGTGTTTCCTTCACCTCTGGCTATGCTACACTAATAATATAGAAACAGAAGTTACACTAGCTCTGCATCTAAATACATAAAACTAAAATTCCATAGCTTTTGCGATTTTTGCTTTCGCCAGCATCAAGTCCTCCACAATAAAGGCCCCCAAAATTTACTTATGTATCTTTCATTTCTTTTCAGTTTACTTGTTTCCACTTGACATAATAACAAAGACAGATGTGGCACAAAATCTTAAAATAAAAAGTAAAGAAATGTCTTTGGTACAAACATAACTATGAAGATGCTCTAAACAAATTAAATCTCATACGAGGCTTAGTGATTGGAGTTGTTGGTAATAAAAAAATCCTGCAATACTGACAGGAATTGAACAAAGAACCTTAAGATTCACCTACACTCCATAATTATCAATATAAAAAAAAGTTATTAAACTCATCATTTTCACACTTGGAATTTTATCTACACTTAAAGGTGAGTAATGACACTTAAACTTGCTTTTGAGCATTACATGCATCAACATTATTTTCATACAGTAGATAATTTCTCATTATTTTTTCATTTTTTAAATGTTTTGCTTATTTTAAACAACTTACTTTTAATGTTTTTTAATCTCATCAAGAGAAATCAGCTGCATTACAATAGAATAACAATTATTGTTCATATCAGTAGCATTGATATTCTCATACACACAGGCTATTCCTTTGTCATCAGTAAAGAAGCCCTTTACTTTATAGTAAGCTAGATCACTAGATTTAGCAAATTTCCTCCCTAAGGTGTACAATGGATCTGTCCATGTTTCACAACCATCTTTGCTTAATCGAACTGAGAGATCTTTAAAATGTGATTTATCTGCTGGGTTTGTAAAAGCAACAAAGTTGAATCTTCCCTTTTTTTCGTCTGGAATACTTACTATGCCAACCTAAAAAATAAATCAACAATAAAAACAACATTAAAGTCGGGCTCCGGAGGAAAAAAATTTTTTCTAAGACAGAAAAAAGTTGTTTGACGAAAAACTGAGCAACGGTGAATGAGATACAGATTTTTGAATATTTAAAAACTGGGGAAAAAGGTGTAAAAATGGGTGGTTATTCCCCCTTTTCCCCCAGTTTTTAAATATTCAAAGAAAAAAAGCATTAGTAGTCATTTTTAGGTTCCTGTGACCATTTTCTTCCTACTTTTTTTTCTTGGTGAATTTTGCATCTGGAACCATATCAGAAGAAAATTAACTCCTATGTGCCTCTGAAAAATGTAGGGAACAAAATACCACCGAAGCCATCTTGAAAATCATAAAAAATCATATATCTCTTGAGTCTAGATGAGCCACAGTGATAGATTTGCTTTCTTTTCCCACTATATTTGGCATTACCAATACACTGGAATGGTTAATCTTTTTTCTTTTTTATTATTTATTTAAGCACACAATACATGTGCCAAGGATTGTCAACAGCAAATATATCACTGTCATACTTGTATGTTTCAATCCCTTACACAAGACAAACATACACACACGATGCTTTACACAAACTAAATCTCAATATGACATTTAGGGAGTGAAGTTGTTTTGGTGGTGAGAGAAAATCCTGCAACACTGACAGGAATTGAACCTAGGACCCTGAGAATGGAAGGCAAGCATCTTAACCACCAAGCTATTCAACTCACTAATGTAGCATTTAAAAATAATCCTGAACAACAAAATTCAAGGTAGCTGCTGTCCGCCATCTTGAAAAAAAAAACTGCTAAAATGTTTTACCTCATGTATTATGTCATGTTTCACTATTAACTCTACTACTTTTCCAGATAATACTGTTTTCAACCATCTCGATATGAGAAATATGGCCTCAGCTCTTTATGCAGAACCTTAACTTTTGTAGGCCTGCCTTGGTTAATTTTAATTGGTTGCCAACCGAGGTCGCCGTAAATTGCTTCTTTTGCAGTACTTCGACTCGCTTTTAGTATGGTCCGCGCCATTTGTAATTGAAGAGACTCTACTTTCTCTAAATCTTTAGTATTTGTATTAACACATACAGCACACGCATAATTAATTGTGGGAAGGCCTATACATTTCCAAAGAACATCACCATAATACACACGGTTAAAATCATCAAGCCTGTCTATAATGGATTTAATATATGCGATAATTCTATTTCCATTTGCAATAACTTGATGTATATGGAAGTTGTCCTTCATATTCCTCGCAATGTGGGTACCTAAATATTTATAAGTTTCAACTTCAGTTATAAAATCCCCTCCTAATTTCCAACGTTTGGTACTATTCAACCGCTGACCGACAACTAGAACATTTGACTTTTCATTACTGAATTTAAATTTCCATTTGTTAGCGAAATGCGACGCCAATTCCAACATCTTAATAATTTCATTTTCACTGTCAGCTAATAAAACGACATCATCTGCCCAGAAAAGGCTGTTCAAACAAACACCATGTATGTGTACACCTAATGAGTGTTCTTTCAATAATTTTGTGAATTCATGATTATTATACAAAATAAAGTTGGTGAAAGAACGCAACCTTGTTTCACTCCTTCCTCAATATCGAAAAAATCTGTTTTAATATCACCGAATCTTACCTGCCCTTTAACATCATCATATAAACTACTTATAATCTTCCATAACCTGCCCCGAATCCCAATATTCCATACTGCCATTAACAGGCCGTCACACCAAACGCAATCAAAGGCCTTCTTTGTCTAAAAAGGCCAAGGTCTTTTTACCTTCTGCAAGACGGCAGCCAGCGATGCTCTTAAGAGTGAAAATATGGTCTTCGCAGCGGCGATAAGGCCCAAAGCCCCCCTGTACTTCTGAAAGCATGTTCTTTTCTTCTAAGAATTCAGAGACTGTGTATAATACGATTCTGTTGAAAATTTTTGAAACGCAGGAAGTTAGAGAAATCCCTCTATAATTGTTTAAGTCCTTTCGATCGCCCTTTTTATAAATTGGGACAACAATGCTTCGGTTCCATTCAGCTGGAATTTTTTCTAGACTCACAATTCTTTTAAATAATGAAAATATTGAATAATTCAGATATTTACTACCATTTTTTAGGAGCTCGTTCGAAATATTATCTATCTGGGGATTTGTTATTTTTGGATTGAAGAATAGCAGTTTCGACCAGATTTAATGTAAGTTCAATATCAACAATGGAGTTAGTGTTATCATCAGAAGCTTGCAAAAAATTGTTATCTTCTTTAAGTTCATTAACGATAGAATGTTTATCGTATTCATCATTCGTATTTCTGTTCATTTTACCTAATGTTCGCCAATAATTTAGAACAGTCTGGTTCATTTCCTCTCTATCGCAAGTAACTTCATTTGTGCCTGGCACTTTTAAGCACTGTATTTGCTCATTTTTTTCGCTCGCCCCCCTTTAATTCCTTTCTTTTGTGAAATGAACTAGATTTATTGTTATTTCTTCCACCATGCTAGACTCATTATTTGTGGATTTTACAATTCTAGAGAGCCCATCAGCCAGTAACATTTCTCAGCCTGGTTTATATATAATTTTCATATCATAACAGACGTTGCAATCTTGGGGGTGCTCTCATTAAGTTTTTCAGATGGATCATTTCTAATGGTTTATTAAAATGCATACCATAAACGTATGTGTGGAATTTTTCTACTGCATAGACTACTGCTAATATCAGTGAGTGCTTTATTTTTGAATGCGATGACTTTCCCCTCTTGAGTTAGAGTTGCCCCTATGGCCTTTAATGACAGGGGGTACATTCTTATCAATCATTATTTTATATGTACCTTTACTGATTCCGATACCTTCAAATATGTTGGGCAACATTCTTTTTAAGTCCTCGATATTCTTAATCATGCCTGTTTCCATATTCAACTCACAGTTAACACCACAATTTTCAATGCACGGAGGGTTGGCAGTACCATTATGGCTGGTCCATCTACACTTGTGATGTAAAACTTTGCATTGCATGTATGGTTATTAAAACAGCAGGGTAAGTATATGCATGGACCTATTAATCCATAGTGTTTTATAGGTCTAAGATTGTATGCTGTTACCCAAGTGTTAGACATCTCTTTATCAGGTAAGTCGTTTTTGATAAGTTTAGGAAACAATTCTTTTATAAACGAAGAGGTATGATATTCCTTTCTACTCCTGTATCACATTTGATATTTATGTAACATTTCTTCTTGTTCTTTAAACTTACTCTTACTTTTGTAAACTTTGTTCAGTGTTTTTATTATTGGTTTTCACACTGTTCTTATCTATTTTGATTGTTGAAAATGATAATTTTTCCTCACTTCAATATTGGAGACATTTTCACTTGTAGTTACTGTATGCATTTTCTTTGTTGGCTTTTTCCTTTTGTAGGCTTTGTTGCCAAATCTACTATTAGTACTACTGGTATTTTTTCTCCTGTGCTTTTACTCTTGCAGGTGGAACTGAAGTGGTTTCTTCTACCACAATTGTTACAGATTTGTTCAAATGCTGGGCACTTCCCATAATCATGCGCTCTTGAACATCTATTGATCAATATTTTCAACCATCATCTGCTTACGTGTGAAAAATCTGAGCCTTTTAAAAGTATGTTGTGTTTAGGGTAACAACACTGCTCAAACTTATCAGACAACTTTTGAAAATTCAACTTATCAGCTTCGGCTTCAAATGTGAATGAGTTATAAATTTCCAGTGCAGGAGCACCAACAACATGTAATAACAATGAAGCTTGCGTAGCGTTGTCTTTCTTGTTCATTCCCTAAGCAGTTGAGTATAACTGGAACCTTTGTTTAAATTTCTTCCAATTCTCAGCCAAACGTCCATTTATGTTTAATGAATCTGGTTGATTTATACGAGCCATATATTGATTGTATAATATTTGAATATATAGTACTGTACTGTAATGATAATCACCGGACAGTCCAAAACTTGATCATGCCATATCAAGTCTTTTACAGTCCATCAAAAAAATATCTCATAGCTGCCACAAGGTTATACTTTTAATTGATGGTTTGTGAGTCATATACTGTATTTAACAACGGACGGTCTAGCATGATGCCATGATGTATATATTCCCTGACCTCTTATAACCTCTAGTCATTAATGCTCCGGACAGCAGCCATCTTGAATTTTATAAGCCATGATAACTTTTAAGTGCTACATTAACCATTCCAGTGTATTGGTAATACCAAATATAATGGGAAAAGATACCAAATCCCTCACTGATGCTCATCTAGACTCAGAGATATATGATTTTTATGATTTTCAAGATGGCGTCTGCAGCCATTTTGTTTGTGACATTTTTCAGAGGCACATAGGAGCTAGTTTTTTTCTGATATGGTTCCTGATGTTAAATGCATCGAGAAAAAACGGTAGGAAGAAAAATGTCATAAAACTTACAAAAACAACATGGATCTCCAAATATGACTCTACATTACAAAAGAAAGTTTGTTGCTAAAGAACCTACAATAAATAGCATCCTGCTGAAACAATTATTTGATAGGAAGGCTGACAAGAGTTTTCTGTCTGTTTTATTTTGGGATAAATGATACATCGTAAGAGCCTACTTCATGACAATCAAATATCAAATTTCATACTCCCACTAAATGAACACTCCTCCAGTCATTTAATTTTTCAAAAGTCATCAACAAATATTGTTTTTGATTTTGCAACTTTACTTTATATACTGTATTAATTTATATACTGTATTGATTTATACATTAATTTAACAATATTTCTGTGTCAACTGTGCCTGCTTTTTATACAGGCCTATAATATGCTGTTAAGGCCTATATGCTACTAAGATAATATCTTAGTGGTACAGTATGTTAAACAAACAAAATATTTGAATTACATGATTCACAAGTATAACAACAATAGAAAAGCCAACATACCTGGCATCCTGGATTAGCCTCTATCAATGTAGGTTCCAATTTTCTTAATGAAGTGGTGATGCAAACTTGATTCTTGGCATATTCAACAATCTATTGAGCAGTTTATGTTTAATATCTATTGTAGTTTTATATATTGCCTAGTATGCAGCCCAATTACTTGATACACAACAAAAGTGGAATCAGACCGAAAATACAAACCGTCGATCAATACAAGAACAATTCCTGATGATGACATAATTAATGTTGAAATGGCATGCATTTCAATACTTGGAGTATGTATTATATTATCACAAGTTCATGATTCACAAGTATAACAACAATAGAAGTCAACATACCTGGCATTCTGGATTAGCCTTTATCAATGTAGGTTCCAATTTGTCCTTGTAAACTTTGTATTTGAGGAACACATTAAAGCGTTGCTGGCAGTTTGCCAATGAACAGGTGATGCAAACTTGATTCTTGGCATATTCAACAATCTATTGAGCAGTTTATGTTTAATGTTTAATGTCTATTGTAGTTTTATATATTGCTTAGTATTCAGCCCAATTACTTGATACACAACAAAAATACAAACCGCCGATCAATAATGATGACATAATTAATGTTGAAATGGCATGCATTTCAATACTTGGAGTATGTATTATATTATCTTATCTGAGATCTAATAAGTGGACCTTTCAGTTTTCAAAACAAGAACATTTATTGAAAACAAAATTTTACTGATTTTTTTCTCTCTTTCATTCAAGAAGTTTGTTTCCAAATAATCTGTAATAATTTAACAACAAAAAAACCTACTCACCTGTGCATGATTTCCAAAAGAAGCACTGTCTATAATGGAGGATATGATAGGCACTACCTCCCAGGTTTCACTCTTATTCTCACTTATTAACATACAAAGATGAACATCTGTAATGATTATACAAGCACATTTTCAGAAATACAAACTTAAAAGAAAGAAATCAAGCATTTTTATCCTCTTACCCATCCCGATCAATTAATAAAAGCACTTTGAATCAAATCTAAAATGACTGTACAAGGAATATGGCATCATTCATACACAAATCATAAAACAGACACACCACAATATAAAATCAGTGACACAAAATCTGTACAGTATTGTCAGTATTGTGAGAAAGTGAAGTCAGTTTTAATTTTCATGTACTGTAAGACTAATGTTAAGACTACAGAGTCAAGCCAGGAGTGTCACCAGCCTGTCTGGCTGAGTTACGTTCCATGTAAAGTAGGACAACTTAACTTCAGCTTGAACAATGTATCGCTAGCTATTATTAGTCTCTTTTTTTGCCCGCGTCTACAGTAAGACAGTGTTGTTCCAACCCAAGCTCAATCCAAGTTCAAACAATAAATTCAATTTCTCTAAATGTTTTGTAACTAGTGTATGTCAACTATATGATTGCATTGGATTTTTTTGGTTAATCATTCAATTAGTTTAACCAAGCATAGAGTTTGCCAAAGAAGAATAATCATGCTGGTTTTCCCAAAGCATAAAAGTCAAGCGATAGGTGTTCATTTCATTTATTTATTCGACCAATACACATTTACAAAAGGTACAGTACAACAAAAATTATGGTCAGGGGCAGCTTAAGCAAAATTTTACTATAACTCATTGAGAGTCAGCTGCCCCATTATTAAATATAAACATAAAAGGCATTTAAATACAATACAATAAATAGCAGAAATAGGCCTATCATAATAAATAAAAAAATAAATAAATAAATAAAAAAATCAAAATTGCTCTTACTTAGTATGTAATAACTGATATATAATTTATATAAGGAGAAAATTACCGAAATGATCTTATTACAGATAAGTTTAGTATTAATAAAGGAAAAAAAAAAAAAAAAAAAAGTAGGTTCATATAAACTTAATGGTATACTAATTAAATAAATTTCAACAGTGTAGATACAATAATTAATAAATATATAAAGTCAGTAAAAAGAATTCAGAAATCTTTGTCAGAAAAATAGTTATGAATGTCCATGAGAGAGTTGGTAAGAGATTTTAGTACTATAGAGTTCCTCACATCAGCAGGGAGTTTGGTCCACACACGAGGAAATAGATTTACAGGTGAATTTCTATAAGCAATGGTCCTAGAAAATTGATGTACAAAGGTTACATTGTCTGTGTGTCTGGAGTTTACATGGATATTATCTGAGATGGAGTGACAGTCAATTTTTCCAAATAAGCATTTGATTACGAAAGACATGAGATTAAATTCACGTCAGAAGCTGAGAGGAAGAAGATGGAGAGTGTCTAAACGGGCTTGATATGGAGTGTCTCCTCGCTTCTCCTTTAGTATACCTCTAGAAGCGAACCTCTGTATACGTTCAATTCGTTCCATGTCTTTCTTTGAATGTGGAAACCATGCAGGTAGTCCATACTCAATTATTGGTAAAACCAATGATTTGTACAAATTGGTCAGAACTTGCTGGTTAGTGCCAATAGCAACCTTTAGGATGAGACCTATGATTTGATTGCACTTGGAGACAGTGGTGTTTACATGATCTGTCCATGACAGTGTGCTGTCTATTGTGAGACCAAGGTATTTGTGGGCATTTGTTGTAGTGATTGATAGGCCATTTAGTTTGTAAGTACAGTTTATTGGATATTTTTTTTTGTGATATGCATTACTTTAGTTTTAGATGTGTTGAATGTCATGCGATTTGTATAGAACCATTGACCAAGAAAGTCAAGGTCTTCTTGTAATGTTGAAACATCACTACAACTGTAAATAGGTTGATAGATTAAGGCATCGTCTGCAAAGAGAACACAAGTTGACTTCAATGAAAAAGGTAATTCGTTCACGAAAAGGTTGAATATTAAAGGACCTACAGGGGCGGATCCGCGGATCCAGAGATGTCCAAAAGGGGGGGCCGAAAGGGGGGGCCGGAATTTGGGCCGATCGAGACAACAATGTCCCAGGGGGTCCAGGGGCATGCCCCCGCGAAATATTTGTGTTCTAGACCCCCGAAAATAACATTTGAGGCGTTGTGGGCTATCATTTTTTTCTTTTTCTTTCTTTTTTTCCTTTTTTTTTTTTCTCTCTCAAAAGGGGGGGGCCGGGGCCGGGCCGGCCCCCCCTAAATCCGCCCCTGACCTAGAACACTGCCTTGAGGTATTGCAGAGGTCGCAGGCAGTTTCTCGGAACATGATCCACCATACTGCGTAGACTGCTATCTGCCAGTTAAAAAGGAAGCGATCCAATGCCACAGAGGCCCTTTGATGTAGTATTGAGTAGACAGTTTGTTAAGAATAAGATCATGTGGTAATTTGTCGAAATGTCTAAGGAGACAGCATCTATAACAGGAAGTCTAGATTTATCAAGGGTTTGGGTCCAATCATGGATAACATTTGTAAGCTGAGTGACACATGATTTCCGTTTAGTGAATTCGTGCTGATTAGGAGACATCAGACATAATTCGGACAAATGGTAATTAATTCCACTGAGAACAATTTTCTCTAAAGACTTACAAAATATAGAAGTCAGTGATATTGGTCTGTAATTACTGAATGTGGAGGAACTACCAGATTTTAGAACTGGTACAACTATAGAGTGCTTCCATTCTTCCGGTACTTGACCAGTACAAATTGAGGTTTTAAATAGAGAGAAAAGGGGATATGATATAATTGAAGATATGGCCTGGAGTAGTCTAGGTGAGACATTGTCAGGACCTGGAGATTTATTTGGTAAGAAAGAATGTATGGACTTTGCAACATCATAGGGAGAAAATTCAAGTGTCTGAAGTGATGGAATTAAGGAACAGCTTAATAAAGAATCAGGAGGTGAGGTAGGTATATTTGAAGATTTGTTGTAGACAGAAGTAAAGTACTGATTAAAACTAGTAGCAATGTTGAAAGGTGTTTTTAGGAGTGAACCATCATTAGACATAAATAAGGTTGAGTAGAAGTGCTAGATCTTTTAGATTTTATATATGCTCAAAACCTTTTACGATTATCACTAGAAGCAAACAGTTTATTAACATAATCACCATATGATTTCTTAACTTGGTATTTAACTTGGTTTCTAATAGTTTTATATTTAGTCCAAACTAGTGGTGATTGGGACAAACGAGCTTTTCGAAACAGAGCATTTTTCTTTTGGATGAGTTTCTTCAGTTCTGGAACAATCCATGGGCTAGAGTGTCTACGAGTCTTTCTAGCAATTGATGGAATACTGTCTCTAACAGCGGCATCCAAGATATCAATAAATCCAGACCATGATGCATTAACATCGTTAGGCTGCATAAATGCACACCATGGAGCCAGGTGAAGATGTTGGTTGAGGTGATCGTAGTCTGCTTTAGAATATCGCAAATATGTATGAGTTATTGATTTTGGTGGATATGTCAAGTTTGATAATGACAGCATTGTGATTGCTATCCACAGGGTTGTCGGTAACTGTTGTCGAAATAATTTTGTCAGGTCTGTTGGAATATACTAAGTCAATGATAGATCCTTCATTATTGACTGTAGATGGATGTGTTATATCTTCTACCAATTGGAAGAGTGCCAATGGTTCAGTTATGTCGCTTAAGTATCGGAAGTCTGGTTCTGCCTCTACATTGAAGTCTCCCAAAAGGAGCAATCCTTCATATCTATTGAATGATGGTTGTAATTCCATCAGACAGTTATAAAGTACTGGCCAGTATAAATTAGTCTCATTTGGAGGTCGGTAGAGGTTTATGAGAAGCCATCGATTACTTTTTACTTTGATTGATACACACATTATTTCCAAATTAGTATCCAATGCTATACGTTCAGGTTGTAGATGTTTATTTACTGCTATAAGTACTCCACCACCCCTTGAATTACGATTTTTCCTGAATATTACAAAGTTTTCAAGATGTAGTATAGATGAGCTATCATTTTCGGTAAGCCAAGTCTCGCTCAAACATACACTGTCTATTAGACTCTGGTGAACATGTGCGGAGAGTTCTAGACCCTTGTTTCAAATACTGCGTGCGTTTAGTAGTAAACAATTTAGCGTATTCCTCCTTGTTATTGATTGTTCGTTACAATTTACATCATCGTGGGAAGTTGCTGAGTCGGATGACGACGTAAAAAAAAAAACGAATCGTTAAACTGTGGCATGGAACAAGAAAAACATACCCATTGGTGAGATTGGTCTTTGTAATGTTGTCGGAAGTCTTTTGGCGAAATAGAAACACAATTGTGTGTATTTAAATCCTACGAACAGATTACAATTTGACCTCCTAAGTTAAAGTTACACTTCATCTTGGTCAAAATTAATTCAATGGGAACAAAGGTTAGACAAGTCAGGGTAAATCAAGTTAGGTCAATAAATGTGATAGTCCACAAACTTTGGGTCACAGCCCTATTTCAGGGTGCAACAAGTAATTTTTGGAGGCCTGCAAAACTGCCATGAACAATCTTAAAATCTGTTTTATGTAAAACTACTTCATTGATATAGCCATAGCACTGCCCATTTTATATGAAATTTTGTTACTAATAGAACAAATAATGTGAAATTATTGTATATCCTAAGAACATGAGGTAATTTTCATGATCAGAGCTTCTTGCCAAGTTTTGGTACGTTGGTCAATGGTGTCATGAAAACCAGCCCTAAAGGTGCTCTTAGCATCCCATACAGTCATACTTGTTTACTTGCGTGCACATGGATCCCTATTAATATGCAAATTGTCATGGTAAATGATGTTATGTGGCGTTAGCGATTGTTTTGTTTCAGTGTACTGCGGGTAGGCAGCCAGATATGTTTGTTGCCGGTAGTTATCAACAGTGGTGGTGAATTTTGGTCTCGGAACAGTTGTAAAATCCGTTTGAGAGTTAGCCAAGGCTAAAAGTGGCCTTCCTTTGTGAGACACTGAAACACTTCACTTCTCTAGCCAGCCGTTGCGACGGTGAGTAAAACTGTACGGTACAAATATTGTTATGCTAGGCCCAGCAATTGTGAGTACTTATTGTTATGGTATGGATTCGTTCACTTGTGTATAATAATGTGTGAGATGGGGATTGTTTGATCATGGGGATTGTTGTTACCATGTTGTTATATAATTGTGTAAATGGGGCACGCCCTCTAGAATTATGGATTGTTTCATTTAAAGGCTTTGTGTATAGGCTTGATTATAGACCAGCATTGGTTGAGTTCTTTTAGACTGTGGATGCTGCGTTGTGCATTGTTGCTTCAAGCCAAAACTTTTGAGAAGTGTGTACGAAGAGACAAGTGGAGCTGTACGTGCCTAAAGTTCACATCAGAGGAAGCGACCCGTGTAAAAATAGACGAGCGAAGCAGTACGCGTCTACCTTTTGGTGTTATCGAGTGTGGGAAGCATGTCTGGACGTTTACTCGCAAGTAAACTCACGAAAACATTATTGTTTATTATACTATGGCTTTATTTTATTAAATCCATTCATTGTATGTTGTCTTTAATAGATGAGTTGCAAATCTTTTAATGTATGAATGGTACCTGTATTGTGTGGTTTAAATGTTTAATAAATCATTGTTATTTAAATCATTTTGCCTATTGTATTTTCCAGTTGTCTAACTCGCAGGCACAGAAAGGCAACTCCCACTAGACTTTCGTGACACCTGGCATGGCAGGGCTGAAGCTTGTTTCTTAGAATCTCAAGCAGGCCATAAGTAAGGAGTTGTAGGAACACTGAATGAATGTAAACAGCTTAAAACCAGGTAAACCAATATGAAATCTAGTCTTACGTTCACTAAACTTGAAAAAACCAGCAACAGCTAAATGTCCTGACTGCAAGCACAGACCATGTCCAGGACCTAAATGAAAATTAAACAAACATTCAAATTAACAAACATTCAATTTAAAGTCAGGCTCCGGAGGAAAAAAATTTGTTGATATTTTGTGAACTGATTGTTCTAAGACGGAAAAAAGTTGTTTGACGAAAAACTGGGGAACGGTGAATGAGATACAGATTTTTTAATATTTAAAAACTGGGGGAATAAGGTGTAAAAATGGGCAGTTACTCCCCTTTTTCCCCCAGTTTTTAAATATTAAAAAATCTGTATCTCATTCACCGTTCCTCAGTTTTTCGTCAAACAACTTTTTTCTGTCTTAGAAAAATCAGTTCTACAACATATCAAAACATTTTTTTCTGGAGCCTGACATTAACAGTACACAAATAATGAATTTTATGAGTGCAATGGGAAGAATATTTTCATGAGTTGAATGGCCCAGAACAGTCAATCTTTCAACTCATGAAAATATTCTTTCCATTACACGAATACAAAACATTCATTATTTGTTTTATAATACACTGAATAAATAGATCCTAGTCATTTCATCACCTTCCAAGCAAGCATTTGTCCCAGACTGTAAAAGTTATGCCTGTCGCCTGCTCCGGGAATAGGCTATAGGCCCTTCCTGGCCGCCGACCAACATTTAACCCCACTCTCGGGCCTGCAAGCCAATCTGCTTGAATCGTTTAGGTCTAGCCTAGCCTGGCCTAACCCATAGGCCCTGGGCTAGGCCTAGGCTAGAAATCTGTCTGCGCATTTCAGAAAATAAGGGCTGAATTCCAAACAGATTTTGCACATATTTGAGCTAGTTTTTGAGGTATCATCCACACTATTAAAATACTTTACAGTAAACTATAACAACTCCCTGAGTAAACAAAATCTCTGATACATGCTACTACTAACTACTAAATCCTTTCCGAGCCACTGGGGCTCATAGCGCTGGAGCTTATCCCCAGGTTCTGTAGTGTGAAGCGGATGAGAGTTGTACTCCCCCTGGACGGGACACTAGTCCGTTGCAGGTTAGTCCCAGCAGTTTGCTGGTACCCATTGATACAGCTGGGTGGACTGAAGCAATATAGCTAATTATTATATTAATAATTACTGTATATATTGTCTCAATTTTTATATTCATAATTAATAACTGTATATATTGTCTAAATTCTTAGATTTATATTTATAATTAATTTTTGTATTTGTTGTTTTAATTATTACTGAAATTGTAAGGCTCACATACAATTTGGCTTTCAAGCCATGACTTGTGACCACTTTTTATATTGATGTTTTTTCATATGAATAAAAGTGAAATGAACGTGACATCATTTCATGGATTTAACCTTCCGGAAAAAGTAAATCCTGCACGTAGGCACCATGCAATGGACAATGAATGAACAATCATGAAAATATTCTTCCTATTGCACTCATAAACATTCATTATTTGTATAATATGTATTTCACAAAAAAAAGATAAAAAAATTTCAAAGTTGTGTAACAGACTACAAGCTCCAAGGAGGTCACAATCTGCCACCACCCTTGTGCACTCATAGACCCCACCCTGGGTGACTTGTGCAAAGTAACATACAGCATACAGTAGGTGGGCAAAGTGCAGCCTGCCGGCCACATGCAATCCAAAAATACCTCTTGATGTTAGTCAAAAGCGTGCGACAACATCATTGTGAACTTTAAACAAGGCGGTGGTTTAACATTGTATTTGAAAATCTTTTTCCTTCATCAAAAAGAATTTATATTATTCTACATACCAATAAAACAGATTTCTGCACCATTCTGCATATCTTCAGGCCATTTCAAATTTACATCAGCTTTGCCACTCCACGGTTTTTTATCCGTAGAGCTCAGCTGAACAAGCTTACAACAATCCTGCTGAGCTGTGCGTTCAACACACACTAGAATCACATCACCCTTCTTCTCATCCACAACAATTGGCACCAAGTTCTCAAATCTAATTAAAATTATGTTTCAACAATTAAATGAATGAAGTTTGTAAAAAAAAACAATTTTCTCACAGATATCTAATGTATCATACTCGCCTGAAATAAGTTGAATATAAAATACCTTGTATTTTTCATGTCTAATATGGGTTGTTCAGGTTCCCATTCAATTCTACTGTGTTCTTTCAATTTTCCCCTACGTAACAGTCCTTTTGTATAATTTTCAGCAACTTGCTCTTCACAGAATACAAAAAAATGCATATCAGCAAACACTACTGCAGGATGTCTATGTATTAGGAAAACATACAAAATTGTGGTAAATAAAAAAAAATTGATAATAAAATACAAGTTTTATATATTTTATAGAACATATATTAAGTAATCTTGTTTTACAAACCTGTAAACATGAGGTTTTTCACGAACCAGAGCTGAACCAAACACGTCCACTAAAAGGATGACCATACCAAAATTAAAACAGAGAAATATTGATAAAGAGAAACTGTTGTCAGTCAATGGCTAAATTTAATTTTAATTATATCTATACTGTATATCTATTGTATATAACATACTGTATTTAATTCATTTGATCTTTTTATTTATTAATTTAATTTATTGATTTTTTAAAATTTTTTTTTTGGTAATTTCAATTCTCAGTCATTATTTTACATAATTCACTTCTGTTTATTTTAAATAATTTATTTTATATACATAATTTCATAATTCTGTTAAAGAAGTCAGTTGCTATAAAAAATCCTTCATATTTTGTAATTCATTAACATTTCTTTTAGTCTTAGTTTATTTCTTGCAAAGAGTAACTGATTATAAAAGGCCGTATATATAAATAATTAATTAATTCACATAATGCGGAAAATGGCTACATGTACACTCGGCAGGTGGAAAACGGCGCCGCGAGCACCCCTACTAGGGATGGATACGTGCGCCTAACAAAATGACATTATTATTATTATTATTAATTCAGAACAAACATACAATGATACAGGCCAAAAATAAATTCTTGGGAACCAAGAACAACATTGAACATGGGTGGCCACTCCTACATCAAATAACAAAACATGGTAATGTAGTGTGAAATGATGTAATAACAGTGCCTGAAACTATAATTAGGATTATATTTAATGTAAAGAAAACTCACAAGGTACAACCAGATTTGCAAATTTCTTCCGCTGTGTGTTGGTAGGTAATTTTTTTGAAACTACCTCACAGCTATAAACACCAGCATCAGCCACTTCCACTTGATTTATTTTCAACTGAGCAGACTTTTGATCAAAATCAGCTTCATACTTCTGCACTTCTGTTTTAGTCTTGAATTTTTCCAAATTTTCTGAGGTATAAATCACTTGATTTCCTTTAGAGGTTTTTTTAATCCATCTTTGTATATCCACATTACTCTTCAGACGATAGTCACATTTAAAGGTAGCACTCTTTTCTCCTTCAAATGCTAAAACATTAGGCATCTGAATGCCTAGAAAAAATAAGAAATAGATAATTGTATGTTCTATGTACATGACAATATGTGATCATACTGTGTTGCATAGACATACAATCACACCAAAAAAAGAGAACAAAAATCATAAAAAACTAAATTTAAATTAATAATTTTAAAGAACCACAAATTATTAAGGTCTATTGAGTCACAGATGGAAAAATGGTTTATATATAACTAATTAGACATTCATATGCAAATCCTAATACTTGCTGCCAGAAATTTGAGGGTATATTAACACTCTGCAAGCCAAACACTGAGATCTTCATGTTTGGTAAAGCAACGCTTGACTGAAACATGGAGATCTCCGTGTTTTATTTTTTTTTATAGAACCCGATAGATGGGATAATTACCGATATGTACTAACAATTTGAACACTATATTTAGTCTTGACCATATTTTACTATTTGTTTACATTAGCGTACAGAGATATTGATTTACCTTAACAAAATCATGATTAGCTCTGCGTAAATCTCCAAAATAGAGTCATTTCCATTTTAATGTTACGGGTCACAGATTATGATTGGAATAAAGTGTCTGGTAAAATTGTAAAGCTAAAATGTTTGTAGTTCTTGTAGTATTCACTACATGTCAATCTGATTACTACACACTCTCAATGAGTTTCGGAAAGTTTTAAAATTTGCTAAAATCCTGGAGGTAACTTATAATATTTTTTCAAACCCCTGGTGGTCAGAGGGTTAAAAAGATTATATAAATGCTAATATTTAAATGTCTCTTTTTGGTGAGAATTTTTTGTTTTCTCACTTTAATTCTCAGTTAAATGCATTCATCCATTTTTTATACCTTGTTTAGGGAACTTTTTTAAGATCAAGAGGAGGCAAAACAAAAAAAAATTATTTTCTTATTTAGTGAAATGCATCAGGACAGAGAAGGAAATGAAAATAAAACTGTACTGGTGAAATTAAACTGTGTAGTAATGGGTCTGATAAATGCATTATATTTATTTATATGACTGAGGAAGAATTAAAAAAAAAACACTTTTTATTTGAAATTTCTATCCTAATCAATAGTAAAAACAGTAGGTAACACCCAGTCAAATCAGCAGGAGGAGCAGGAGGAGGAGCAGGAGGAGGAGGAGGACAGGTTTATTACTGAAGCAGTAGCAGTTGGAGCAGCCCAGATGTAGAGCAGCAGAAACAGCAGCAGCAAGCGGGGAGCAGCAACACAGAGAAACATGTGGGAAGCAAAAACAAATCAACTGGCGAGCGATAAGGCATGGGTGCTGCTAACCACAGCCTTAACATTGGCGCTGGTTAGAGCTGTTTTTCGCTTATGGTTCGGTTGGTAGAACAAAGTCTTTTCGGATAAGGACTTAAGATGGAGGAACAGTGTACACACCTGGCACGTGTGCACTTTAAAGAACACATTGCACCTTTCGGAAGAGCAAGGGGTTAACCCAATGATATCATTCATGTCAGCCCCTGTCGTTATGGCTGCTAGACAGTAACAGACTATGCCCATACTTGTGTGGATACCATGGTATATGCCTTCAAAAGGGTGTTAGTTTCCAGGCCCGTATCACCTAGCAGATAAGAAATTATAAGGTATAAGTTTCCGGGCTTGAAGGGTTGTGAGGCGTTACACCCCCCGTTAGGTTACTTGATCAGTTGTAGTAGTGTCCGATACACTACAGAGTCAGATACAGACTTTCTTCCAGGTTGGCACGAGGGAGATCTACTTCTCTTACTTAATGATTCATATCACACTTGGGGTACAAATATATTTGGCCGCTGCAAAGCTGAGCGCAAAAGGAGGGTGTCATTCCACACCTAGATTGCAATATAAATAATTCATATTACGAAGTAGGTCTCTACATCGTAATATAATTTAACTTGTATTACGATGTAGAGACATACATCTAAACATGATTACATATATTCCCCCTTCAGACAGAGCTGCAATATTGCGGTAAGCACGCCGGAATGGGTTTCTGTCTGATATTGAACAAACAATTAATTTATAAAATTATATATTATATTTAATATATATTTATATATCTGCTTGCAATATAAGCTAATTTTTTTTTAATGTAATAATGTAATAAATATGTTTTGGGGAAGCTGACCCATGAGAGTAGTTAAATATTAGTAGCTTTATCAATATTCCGACCAATTTTATGTAATCATATTTTCAATTGGTCAACAGACCTGTAATACTTTTATCAAGAAATAATCAATATCACATAAGTCGTCAGTTCTATTGCCTTACAATTATTAATTAAAATTAATTTTAACTATTTATTATTCTACTTTTTTATCGTTTATTTCACATAAAATTTTGAATTCTTATTAATTTATATTTCACTGCATTTATATTGTTGATATGAAATATATGTGACAAATATGAAAAAAACAAACCAACTTTACTTTCACACAAATCAACAGTTAATTCAGTAGTTGTTGATGAGTACTCAATAGCTCTATCACCAAGAGTGCCTTTAGTAACACACTGACAGATGTAGGAACCAAGTTGTGTGCGTTCAACTTCCAAAAGTGTCAGGAAAAATTTTCGTTCCTCCTTTATATAGTTAGCTTTACACCATCTCAAGGGGAATAAATCATTGGACCGAGCAACTTCACTTAATTCGCCTTTATAATCTATTTTGTAGAATGCATAAGATTTAATTTCCAGAGGCTTTATCAAATCCCAACACAGTTTAACATCTTCACCTTTTATAGATTCAATTCTTTCATCTACAGACTTTAATAAACGACCTGTTAATAAAAAAGTAATAATTCCTTCAAATATTTAAATGTGTAAAAAAAACAGTGAAATGAATATTAATTTAATATTATAGAATATTATGCTAAACAACTTACAAACTCAAAGACCTGCAATAAGCAAAATACTAATGATGATCACGAGGGTTGTGCATCTTCAACTCTATGTACTTAATATTTCATATAAATAAACTTACCAATTTAAAATCAATAACTAAGCAGATTATCAAAATTTCATAAACAGATGAGAAATAAAATAAATATAGAATTAATTGTGGTGGCAGCTTAAGATTTCAAACAAAAGGTCAACCATTTAACTTTGACCGGTTGCAATTCCGGCACTTTAGGCAGGAAGGCATACAGAGAAGATTTTTAAGAAAGTAATATATATGCTGAGAATTTAAGGATGTTAACTTATTTGTAACAAAGTATAACATTGCCGAAATTAAAAAAACAAAATGCTATAAAATAAATTGCAAAAACCATCAAGACTTAACATTAAGGGAAAACACTTACCATTCTGAGCATGAGTTCTTACAATAAAAGAAAAGTTGATAACAAAATTGACAAGAATATCGTTGGAATCAATCAATATGACTTTTTGAATTGATTGAATTGTAACAGAATTGGGAATAGAAAAAGAATTATTAGATGAGGTCTAACAAGTTATGGTGCTACGATCTGCCAAATGCAGCCCATGAAATTTGGAAAAAATTAGGTCAGCAAAACTTTGCCAACTTTAAGTTCTCCAAGGTCGGTAGCCACAACAATTTTTTACTACCTAGCCCTATTTAGTATAAACTACGATTTTCCAAACACCGGACCTTAATCGTCATCTACAGATGGTGATTTTGTTAATTTCTCTATTAAATCAATATATTGCTGGTGAAAGAATGGTCGTACTTGTATTAATTTAATAATGTAGTATAATAGTTTTATATAAGAAAATCTCTGAAAAAATTTCTTTTTAGCATTCGTTTTATCATTATCTTTGGCATGGGAAATACCACTTTTGTAAAAGCTACAAATGTATCATCACAGGCTGCTTCAAAACTGCCCATGCATGTCCTAGCGCATGCTCAGAATGATCTATCAGGGATTTTCCACACAGGTACACTTGTCAATAGTGAAGTCACGATGTGATAATGATTGCGTTTAAACGGACGGTAGGATTAGGCCTATAATATGTTGAATTTTGTTGTTTTTAGATAATAATACACAACATTTTAAATATGATAATAATACTGGAAAATGAAAACAAATAATAGAATTAGAGAAGCATTACGCGGCCCACATGGCTTCAAGTGGGCGATGTTGTTAGCCTTGACTGGTTAGCGTCATTCCTACTAAGACAAGACAATTGTACACAAATCGTACGTACTGCATGCCTATTAGAAATAGTTATTGTGCAAACAAATCTGTTTAAGTAACCAATAATTTCCTTGGTTTGACGACGTACATGAAATTTAGTGTCTGGAAGTGTTTGACTTTCCAAGCAGTTTTTGAGGCAAAAAATTCTAGGCCTTGCCGTCCTGTAGCAATTCTGGCTCAGAAATATGGTTGGCAATTGCTGACGTGAAATTCGTGGGCTGCAGATGTAGGGGCTAGATGTCATGACACGAGGTCTAGACAAAGTGAGCATTTAGGCTGGGGCCAAGAGGGCTGCCTAGGGCCCTAGTAGGGGTCTAGGAGACAAAGCTACAATTATTTGACAAATTATTGTTATTTATTATTGTTGTTATTTATTTTATAGGCATCAATTCAACGTATACAAGTGGCGTAGAAGAGAATAAGTTAAATGGTATTAGATTCCAGGCTGAAGGGGGTTGTGAGGCATTACCCTAAGTAAGGTCATTTGGTCACTCTAGTTGCATCTCATACCACTACACAACAGAGGCTTGAGCGAGGGAGAGTTCCCGCGATTTATATCTCTTGCCTAAATGATTCATATCACACTTAGGGGTACGAATATATTAAAATATATATGCTGTACTATACTGTACCTTCGACCTCTAGATATCCAGTACAAAGATAGACAGATTTCCTTCCTTTTACTTCCACCTCACAACAGTATTTTCCAGCATCTTCTTTTGTTATATCATTGATGTCCAAAAACGCCTGTGAATTTTCGATCTCCAAACCTGCAGTATAGCGTTTTTTTGAGAATCTATTTTTCTGAATTTTTAGATTAGCGAGCAAAATTCCTTTTTCCTTAGATTCACCTTTGTACCATCTAATATCTGATATCTCTTCCAGTGAAGCTTTGACTTCAGTAGTAAACTTTAAATACAACCTTTCGATGTTAACCCCCTCATTGGTTATAATATCCTGAATTTTCAATCTGAAAGGAACTGAAATACACAATGATTGATTAATGCCCATTAAAAAATTATCATCCCCACCTGCGTTTCTTCTATAGTACTGAACATTTTTTTTTTTTTTTGTCATAATCATCAACATGAGCACAAACTGCATTATTTTCATTTCCATCATATACAGTAATTAAACCATCACCAATACTTTTTGTAATCAGCAATGTCGTCATAAAAGAAAACTTGCCACTTCCATTTTTGAAACATACAGCACATGTTCTTACCCAGAGACTCCTATTTAAGCACTCATTACAATGGAATGAGCAATTATTTAATTGGATCAATGTTGATTCATACATTATATTAAATTTACTATTTAGTACATTTTATATAATTTTTGAACCAACATTGGTCCAATGGATTTGGCACACATAAATGACAGTGCCTAGGCACCCAACACCAGCGAAAAAAAAAAATCAACAGCATATTAATTTATACTGCAAAATTGGGTGTGAGTATCACAGTATGTGGACATTCTCGCATAACAAAACATGCCCAAACAAAGACAATACATCCTATACAGGTATATACATAGAATGTCATGATAAACTTGAAATACACAATTTGTCAAACACATTTAGTATTAGTAGTAGTAGTAGTACTAGTAGTAGTAAAACTTATTCATGAAGCACAAATCAACAAATACAAATTATTCAATCAAATAATTAATCAATAAATTATTTACATTATACCCAAAGATACGTCGTTATACTTGGCGACCAGTCTTTGTGAATCACGTTTCACGCTCGATATTTTTTCCATTGTTCTTCAACGCTTTGAGATGTGACCGTCTGTATGCAAGTGTCTTGCTGGTGTTGCTGTGCCTGTCTTCACAGAAATACTTGTCTTAGTTGAACTTGTGCTTTCATTATTGAACTATCCCTGGCATGTTGTGAAAGGTTTTTCTACTTTAAATCAAATTTTTTGAAGGTGTATAGTACATTGGTCTTGACTGATTACTTACCTTATTAATCTACTACACTACTTGGAAATGGTTTCAACATTATACTGTGAATTTGTTGAACGTCTATACATCTTGTTCGTGTATACTAGATGGAATACCTTCGTTACTTCTTTTTTGTTGACCTGAGGTATTTTACATTATACCCGAGGATATAACGTTGTACTCGGCGACCTGCCACTGTGAATTACGTAATCACATTATCACGCTTGATATTTTCCATCGTTCTTCAACGTGTTAAAATGTGACCACCTGTATACAAAAGTCTTACCGGCGTTTCTGAGCTTGTTATTATATACTCCTGTTGAAAGAATCACCTTTGTTGAACTGGTGTTTTCACTATTTAAACTGTCTTTGCTTGCTCGCTTATGATGTCAATATTTACGCGACTTTTGCTACATTTAATGTGAGAGGATTTACAAAAGCTCTTAAACGTGTTCATTTTGATAACGATTTGACTCGATATAATCTTGATATCATAGCAACTCAAGCGTTATCATAAACCCACAGGCTAAAACTGAATTTTATAGAGACTTGCCTTAAGCTGTATCTATTCTTTCAAGATACGAACTTTTTATACTCAGCGACTTTAATGCCAGACTTGGCAAAGTAAATTATTATAACAACTTGAATATTTCTCAGTATGTTGGATCACATAGTCACGGTCAAGTGAATGATAATGGTAAAGAACTTTTTACATTTCTCACCAAAACGCAATGTTCGCATGTAACACTGCTTTTAAGCACAAAGTTTGTCATATATCTACTTGCACTGGATATATGAAAGATCCAAAAGCTGATTCTAATGGAAAAGCTTCAATTCCTTATTACAGTCAAGTTGACTATATTCTATGTCGTAATCGCTTTAAAATAACACTTACTGATGCACGATCATATGGTGGCGCTACAGTTTACAGTGATCACAAGATTGTTTGTGCTCGATTTAAATTTTAAAATATTCATCTCATTTTCAAACCCACCACCAAAACTCTTAGGCTTAATTGCGCCGGTGGTGTTTTTTCAAAGAATCACAAAAAAATATCAATTTCTTGTAACACAATCCATTAACAAAGTACCTTCTGATAATATCAAATCAACTGCAACAATGACATCAAGAAGAGTCTGGATTGCCTAAAGAATTCTCCTGTAGTTGCTGTCGGAACTGTTAAATATTCACAAGGCTACTCAACGTACAATGATCCTGAAGTTGTTAAATTGTCAAAGAATAGACATAAGCTCATTTCTTCGTTGGACAGCAATAGCACATCTATCGATCGCACAAAACTGCATTGGAAAATAAATTCAGCTAAAAATCTGATTGAGAAGAAATAAGAGCTGAAAACATCGCTCACATTATAAGATCAACTGATGAAAGCCGCCGGATGTTTGAAGCTGTTCGCATGTCAGTAAATGAGGCAAAATCATCAAATGTCTGTATACATGATAAAGATGGCAACAACATTGTTTCAAGTGCAGCAAAAGCAAATGTAATATTCAATGGTTTTCTAAGCAAATCAACTGGGAAGGTGAAGCGCCTTAGAATCCATTTGATTGTTGAAAAGTCCGCTAGTTGTCTTAAAAATGGACATAGTACTGGACCAGATTCTATCCCAAATGAATTACTGAAATATGCTGGACCTGTCTTTTATGCAAAATATGCTGCTATAATTAACACTTGCTTTAAAACAACGTATACTTACACCGGATTGGACCACTAATATATCAATATACTGAACCATGGCAAGCTGGCTACAAGCATAGCAGAAGTTGTTCTGATTTGGTGTGGTGTCAGCGAATGCTTGTAGCAGCTGTAATGGAAAAGCACTGGACATTCAACAAAATGGGAATAGATATGAGTGCTGCATTCGACTCCATGTGGAGGTCGACTACTAAATCTGCTTAATGACGTAGGGTGTTGCAAAGATGACGTCAGACTTGTTCGTTTTCTTCTTGCAAACACTCGCCTTAGAGTTAAAATTAAAAATGTGCTCTCAGAAGATTTTAAGTCTACTATAGGTTCGTTTCAAGCCTATCAGGTGCATTGTTCACTCTTACACTTGCCAGAGCACTTAGACTTGTCAGAGCAATTTAAATTCCGAGGCCAAATCCGCTTATATCATTTATGGGGATGGGGAGTCTGAATACGCTGATGACGTTAATTTTTTAGATGAAGATCCTCAGATTCTTAAGCATATATTGCCCACTGTTACAACAATACTACAACTCTCAGTAAATGAAGATAAATCTGAATTTACACAGATATATATCGCTAATAAACATGACCTAGATAGTAGTGCAAACACCATAAAAGACAACGAAGCATGGCGCGCATGTAAGCTGCTTGGATCTTTCTTAGATTCTATCATGGATGTTAAACAATGCATCATTCTCAGAAATGTCGCTTTTCCGCGATTCAATAAAATTTGGAATCGTCAAAGACGTATTTCACTCCAGAGACGTCTTATAGTCTATGAAGCCCAGGTAGTTTCTGTCATGCTATATAACTGCAGCAGCTGGTCTGTTTCTAACAGTGTACTAGATGATCTTGACGTTACACATAGACGACACATTCGCCACATTTTATACATCAAATGGCCTAACGTCATCGGGAACCATGATCTGTACAAAGTCACCGGCGTCATCCCATTATCTGAGCGTGTAACAGAATCCAGATAGTTAATGTTTGGCCACATCCGTAGAATGGAAGAAACATCCCCTGCATATCGTGCTTTGTCATTTGCTGTTGATGGGTGCTGCCAACCAGGTAGATGCGGTTGTCATAAAACCAACCTTCTCGGAGTACTTCGCAAAGACCTTCAAAAATGTGGTCTAAAACTATGAAACCTTGATGACATCCAAGTACTTTGTGAACTTGCTGCTAACAAAACTACACGGACACACCTCCAAAATATGTTATGAGACTGATCAGAAACTTTAAACTGTTAAAGTTTTTGTAAACAGTATACAATAATAAGATGAATTACTCATTACGGTACATCATAAAAGGTGAAAGATAAACACATGAATTAAATAATACAGATAAAAAACATAATTATTAAAAAGTATCCAAAAAGCCAACAATTTATTAAAATAAAAATAATCTATACATAACAATGGCAAAAAGCAAATTATGGAAATGAATAGAATCCACTCGTCAAAAGTAAACTACAATTTACGAAAAAGAAATATAAAATGTAAATAAAACAAAGTAATCAGTAAATTTGTAAATTGGTTTTGTTATTTTGCCTTTTGTGCCTTTGTATTACAGTAAGAAAACAAATTACCAGTTGATTTTATTGGACAATAAATGTTACCTTATCTTATCCTATCTTATTTGAATTAAGTGTAGCAAACAAGATCGCTCAAGTTTGGTTGGTGACTAATTCGGTCAATTCCATATCACTTTTTATGCTTTAATTGATATAATAGATGGTAGGCCTATTTATTTTTCTTAACATGACTTTATTGTCCTTTCTGAAAAGATTTTCTATTTTACTGGTATATTTTAATGAAGAAATTAAAAAACAAAATCAAGAAAGTGTCTATACCTTGGTTGACAACAGGCATCCTATTAGCCACAACCTGTTTTCCACAACTTGAATTTACAATACATTGATACTCCCCAGCATCTGCTAATTCAACCTTCGAGATCCTCAGAAAACTGTTTCCCTTTTCATTATCGGTAGTTATTTCAAATCGTGGACCTTCAGAAATCCTGGTTGATGTTCCATCATCATGAAGTTTCTCCCAAATGCAATCTGATTTACACTTAAGCTTGTCTTCTGGTTCACATTTGCATTCCATCACAAATGTATCACCCTCTTCTAGTTTTTCATCTACTTGTACAATATCAATCCCTTTACAATTATAAGGACAGATTACATATAATTGCAATATATTATAAGTACAGGAAAGGCTTGTATTGTAAAAAGGAAAGAATGCACATGCAAACATTAGACTATCACAACTTTACTAATAAAAGATGTCTGATTATGCACTACAATAACATCTCCCAATTACGAACAACCCAAATAAATACCCTCAATTTTACAAACTGGATGCTACATAAATTTTATTAAACAACAAAATCATTTCGTATTGTATTTAAAAATCTTTAAAAAAAACAAAAAAAACCATATAAAATGTCCTATCAGCCAAGAAAAAAAATGTTTTTTTTTTTTAAATGTTTAAATCATTAAATTGATATAAAACTTCCTTTAAAGCAAAACGTATCAATTGTTTTCATCCAAGATATACGTTATTCCATTTAGAGCATGCTTGTTCAGGCAGCTACTATACAATAATATGGAATTTTTGTTCATTGGGGGTGCTAGTCCAATGAATAAAATTAGTGTGGTAATTTAAATCTGCGATCATTATGAATAAAATAATAAAGTTAATAATAATAATAATTATTGAATTCACTTTTGCATCAGTGGCACATGTCAGACAATACCTAATGGTGCATCCATATAGAAAAAAGTAAAGAAATTATATCAAATTGAAAACAAAAGGAACAACATAAACAAGGGTGAATTAAAGACCTGGTTACAGTATGACAGCGATGGTTATTGAAGGTAAATTAAATGGATACATCTTGTTCATAATGTGATAATATAATATATGGTTTGCAGTTACAGAATATAGACCAATTAAATAAGTTACGATTACATAAAATACTGTAAAATAAAACAAAGCATTTAACAGGTAAATTAATCAAACAAATGGAAAGAAAATAAAATTACAAACAGTACAGTAGTACAACAAAACCTTCAATTTTAATTGCCGTGCAAATAAGAAATCATTGGCATCAGGAAATGTTGAATAGAGATATTAGTTGTTTACTGGAAAAGTGTTATATACATTCTTTCCATGCATTAATTAAATACTGTTTGAAATATTTATTGAACAGGTTGTTTGCCAATTCATATTCCTCATTGGATAGATATCTTTCTGTAATTTGGTATTCACTGTTAATTACTAGGTCATTGAAAAATAGGTGATATTTAAGTTCAAGAGAGCCTAAAGTAAGTACATTCCAAAGTATGTTTAAATTATTGTAGTGCAAGTTCTTTTAATATTGGTTCTCTATATGCTTTATAATTTGTTGAAGTTAAATATAAACAGAAACATTTTTTCCTTTTCACCACAATCACATATTAAGTATAGGCCTAAATTTTGAGATGAGCATGAATGTAATCGGGAGATGTTTACTGTATTAACATTACTGAAAAACATAAACTAATGATAATGAATAAAATTTTATTGAAATAATGAGATAACTTACAACGAACACATAATTTGTTCTTGCATGGATATGATTTTCTATATCTCACAATGGTGCACTTGTAGTTGCCTCCATTATTTCTCATAGGGTTGGAAATTGTAAGACTGACTGTTCCTCTACCATCAGCATCCACAGTAAATTGATCTTTAAGGACGAGCAACATTTACAGTATTACATAATCATTGTTTTTATCCAATACTTAAACAAGTACAATGTGCACCTACATATGTAGTTTTAATTTATTACTTGGTATTTATGAAACACGTAATAATAAAGTAAATAATGCAATGTAGAGAATATTAGGCCTATTATATATAATTCCAAATGATAAATTGTGGCAAAGACAAGCCAAACCAGTCACCCGTTGGAAAAATCAATTTTAGTTATTAATACAGGGTTTAAGAGTAAAATGAGGGCTATAAAATGATAAAAGAATCATTTAAATAGAACACTTTGTTATGAAGTTGCAAAAGTTTAAACAAACAGCTGTTTAAAGAACAATATTTGAGAAATCAGCCTTCAAAGTTTACAATTTCAGGCATTTCTTAGGCAGAAACCATTACCAAATCATTAAAAATTGGTGTTTTTACATTGAAAATGAGGAAAATAACAGCATAGCATGATGTATATAAGGTTAGTTTAGTGCAATAAAATAGTTTTTCAAAATTTTGATATTCCAGCATGTTTTGGCCATTATCCCCAAAACAGTATTTGCGACCAGTGACTGGTTTGGCTTGTCTTTGCCACAATTTTAGAACCACTTCCATCTAAACAGTTTACATGAAATACACATTTAAAACTACATCATATATTAGTAAAGAATATAATTAAAATGAAGTAAACTCTCTTACTGGAAGCTTTGTCATTAGGATTGTCTCTAAAGATAAACAAGAAAAATACACACGATTATTTTTGCAACTAAATTGTTGTACTGGATGTCAGGTTATATGTCGTACATTACAAGAAATATATCAAATAATATTATTGGATGGATGTAGCATGAATGAGCATGTTATTGTATGGATTAGAATCAATAAAATACACAAAAAGCAAAGGAAAATAAATCCCCATGGTTACTTTCCCTCTTGCATTCACAAACACACACACAATTATTATGTTTGGTCACTCTTACAATACATGTACCTGTAGGGCTGGAAAGACAGTATTTTATAAAGTATGTAATATAGTATATAATGAAACAGAAGTAACTAGCAACAGTATGTTCAATAATATAACATGAACCCAGTCAGATCATTACTAGTATTAGTTTGAGCTTTAATTGAATCATGTTGACAATTTGGACTTTGAATTTCACTCTCATTTTCTATCGGCACACAAACGGTGACAATCTTTTGGACAAGACTGTCCTATGTTATTTGTTACCAGAAGTAAGCTTTAATATATTTTTTGTGGGTTTTGACTCTGATAATCCCTAGGCATCCTTTGACTCCAAACTGTGACCATTCTACTCAAGGGACACTAACTAAAACCTGAAATTGTCCCCTTAATTGGCTTAAGTGTTTGGCATGTTTTTTATGTGACATACATTCTCTATCTTATCATTTCTATTGGAAAAAAAATCATGAGTTACAGTGAATTAACATTATTTCATAGCAATAATTTGCAATGCAATTACAATTCATTATACTAATATACCAGTAATATCAGCAGAAATGAATTTAAACCAGTCTGCTGACAAAGTTTGATTGAAATCGGCTTAATCATTTGCCACTATTGGCACTTCGAAATGTTGACAGAAAAACATTAGAATAACCCCTTAATCTTTGATGCCACATCCAAGAACACTATAAAGACTCTGCTGTAAGCTACACTCACATCAAGCCAAGATCCGGTTCGGAGCCCGGAAAAAAATTGAGTTGTTACGTTTTTTGAAAGGTGCATTCACATGGCACACAGAACACCGTTTTTAAGTGTCAAGTACGTATGCATTTGAAATTTGAAAGCTCATACAATTTCATAATACAAATGGCTCTCAGATATCCATGGCACCAGATCCGGAATCCGGATTGGAAATCGTACAAATTTGATGTGAATGGTCCTATTCTTTAACCACTGAACACATTTTTCATGATTTCTTGTCCGGGCACCAGACCGGATCCGGGCTTTGGTGTGAATGTAGCTTTATGCCAAAATGATGCATATGTGCAAATGACAAATCTATGCTATGGTATTTGTGACAGTAGTCTTTTTTACCCTAATGGCCCCTATGTGACCCCTGACATCAAGCTTTCTACTGAACAAGTTTGTTTGAAATTGGACCAACCATTTGCCACTAGTAGTGTTTTGAAATACTGCCAGAGAGGAACAATAAGAAGGCAGAACCCAGCCTTCCTGCAACTGAATGGATAATGATTGTATTGAAGCAGGCTTGTAAAAACGAATAATTATGCATTATTAAATTAAAAAAGAAAGTGTTATGATTGGAAACAAAATGAAGAGCTACTGTAATGTGTAAATCACAATCATTAACTAATTCATAGTGTTATAGAGAATGTTTGAACAGAATTTTGTTCGTTTCCACTGGATATTTTCTGAGAACAAGAACATCATTTCCTTTCGCAAATAGCACCTTATCTGGGGGATAAAGTCCAGGGCACAACCAGTCTAGATCTTGATGTAAAGTCAGAGATGGTGGAGTAAACCAACTCCAATCCCTCATAGTTATTCTATACATGCGTGTCAGGAATAACTACCCAAAAAGTTTTATTATGAAGCATTATTATGTAGCATTAATTTATCCCTTTTTGATGCATTCTACATATTTTTTTGAATTATCATAAGTGAAAGTATGTGCATGGAATGAACTTGTGAGGAAATATGAGGCTTAGAAGGTGGACAAAGATTGTTTGCAGGATTTGAATCCAGGCCTTTGCAAGCATGTTAGCCACAACCAGCTGCAGCTCTACCTACAGTAACAGTCATACATTATTGCTGCTGTTATGGTGTTTTTATGGATTGATAAAATGCTGGTGGATTAATAATCATAATAAGAATGTAAATACAGCATAAATAATGTGTAGGGTGAACTAAAATACCTGGTAAATCAAGCAAAAGAAATAAAAGAATGATTTGAAAAAACTATGGCAAAGGCAAACCAAAATGCAAATATTTTTCACTGAATACAACAAACCTTTGATCTGAGGTCTTCCCTGGAATATTAAACATAAACACAAAAATCAGTACAAATCAAGCAATGAATAAAATAGTGATAGCCTTTGAGGCGCATGGTTCAAACTATAACCCCAAAGAGAAATTAAGATTGTATTATGCTCCGAGACGAGGGTGAGGGGCATTTTGAGATCACATTTTAACCATTATCTGAAAAAAGCAGTGAATATTTTCTTACATACTGCATACTATAAATAATCTAAGCTTCTCCCAAAGAACGGAATACCAAAATTTGTATAAGGGTCATCTATTTTACAGACTGCTTGAAAAAAAATTTTGGCCTAGCACTAATAAATCCAGGTCTAGAGTTTTGGCTGTGGAAAAATTAAAAATATGATTATTCACTTTAGAGGTCAGTATTTTCCAATGCACAATGTCACATGCTTCTCTCACTATCAACTGTAGACACAAGATTTTTCTCACCTTCTTCATATACCAATTGTATATGGAGAAGGTGAGAACGATCTTGTTTCAGTTTAAGGCAAGTCACATGCTCCTCTCACTACCCACTGTAGACACAAGATCTTTCTCACCCTAGTCATATACCAATTGTAAGCTAGAATGTGTCAAATTAAGATTGTAGGCACAAGATCTTTCTCACCCTAGTCATATACCAATTGTAAGCAAGAATGTGTCAAATTAAGATTGTAGACACAAGATCTTTCTCACCCTAGTCATATACCAATTGTAAGCAAGAATGTGTCAAATTAACCATCGTAAAGCCAGGCACTCATTGCGCCCAACACTCAGCCTGCGCAATTTTATGGAGAACGCAAAGCCACAGCGCTAACAGAGAGAGCGGACTGGAATTCATTGTACGACTGTTGTACATACTTTCATAGCAATGAGTGCTTGGTTAGGCTGACATATTCATGGTGTTTACTAGAGGGAGGGTTTTGGAGGGGGTGACTGTCATGAAAACCAGCAATTTTGATGTCCCTAAAGGCGCTCTTGGCGTTCCATACTTGTTTATTGCAACCTTATTTTAGTGCAGATGTGTCGACTATTATGCAAATTGGTCATGGTAAACGATGTTATTTAATGCTAGTGAGGGTTTTGTTTCAGTGTACTGCAGGTAGGCAGCCGGACATGTTTGTGCTGGTAGTAACAACAGTGGTGGTAAATTTTGGTCTCAACAGTTGTGGAATCCGTTTGGGAGTTAGACGACGCTAACAGTGGCCTTCCTTGGTAAGACACTGAGACACTTCACTACTGGTTAGCTGTTGCGACGGTGAGTAAAACTAAACAAATATTGCTATGCTAGGCCTAATTTTTGTGAGTACTCATAATTATAATGGTATAGGTTTATTTACTCATGTATAGTGATGCAGAGATCCCAAGTCTACCGAAAATCGCGGGTTTCTCCCGATTTTTTAGGCCGTCTCCCGCCCTCCCGATTTTTATTAATAATCTCCCGATTTTTTTAAATATCCCGAAAATTTCACGAAAAATGTGATTTCCACGATGTCATAGAGCAATGAAACAACATTTCTTATCTTAAGCCAATATATTATGGTGCACGCTCAGCCTTAAAATGTCGTAAACAAGACCAGGGAGTTGTTATTTAAAGTTGTTTATCAATATAACAACTCCATGGCAAGGCAGGCCTACATCCGTGGTAGAATCGCCTTGTCCTCCATGTTACGATCTTTCTCATCCGCGCCGACCTCAATCAATGAGATGGCTGTCAGTTAATTTGTTGAAATTTATTTAACGAAATTAGAAATCACATGGGATGGAATGGATGCCCCAAGTTTTTTTCGCCGCGAAGATTTGGAACTTTGTAGAATCGGTGCATAAAAAATACTTTTTCTTTCAAGTAAGCTTCAGTTCTTTTATAACAATACTAAAAAAATCATAGTAGGTTTTGGTACTAAGTAGTCTTCCGAAAAGTGAAGTTTATTTTAATATCAATCCCGAAATACATGTAGACCTAGGCTCTATCTGCACTGCAGGGTATGTGTGTTGTGTTGAGTGGGCATCTGTGTGTAGTGGTGGTCGTGACTCTGAATGTGACTCTGCGGCCTTAGGCCTAGTTACGCACGTACAGATGGAGCCTAGCGAGGCAGGATTTAATGTTTTTTTTATGGCATTATGTACCAATTAGTATAGGCTAGACATATATAAATGCTGACTTAAAACATGTAGTATGATTTACTAACTAAATTAAAATATATATTTATTTTTTAATTTTTCAGCAAACGTGTGGATCTTGCAAGTTGCAGTATACCTTGCTAGAATTCTATGTTCTTTGAAGAGATGTAGTAAATCAGCCATAGCCTCTAATATGCCAATGAACCAAGTAAAGCCTTGTTGACTGCTGCCAAGAATGCTTTACTAGCAAAATTCTAAATAAATAATAATATTTATAAATTTATATAGGCCAACTGCAATGTGTAAACAAATGTAAAATTGTTAAATAAAAGTAAACAAATTAATGAAAATTGTTTGTTTCCTTCATTTTGTGTAATACTTTCATGTTGCACAGTGCGTCGTAAGGCGTCACAACGCGTCGCTACAGGTGGTGATCGCTTCACGAAAAAAATCTCCCTATTTTTTGGTTTTCAAACTTGGGATCTCTGAGTGATGTGTAAGATGGGGGTTGTTTAATCACGGGGATTGTTGTTACCATGTTTGTAAATTATGTATTGTTTTATTTAAAGGCTTTGTGGAAGGGCTTGACTATATATAGACCAGTGTTGGTTGAGTTTTGAGACGACTGTTTATGCCGTGTTGTGTATCGTCGCTTCATTCAAGCCAAGTCTGTTGAAACATGTATACGATTAGACGAGCGGAGCTGTATGCACTGGCGAAAAAGTAACAAAAGACCGTGTAAATAGTGCCGCGTAGGGTATCCATCGCGTAGGATATCCGCCGCGTACGATCGTTGCGTGCATGCTGTAACAATCACAATTTACAACCATGGTTACAGCGTACACGCAAAGATCGTACGCAGCGGATACCCTACGCGGCGCTATTTACACGATCTTTTGTTACTCTTTTGCCAGTGACGTCATAGTAAAATCGTATATAATTGCCTATAACTTCATTAAAAAAAGGCCAAAAAACGATTTTAAGGTTGATTCTATTATTAATGGCATATCAAAAATCCTCTCTAAAACAAAAAATCATTTTGCTAGTTCTCTTTTAACTAAGACTTCGTCCATTTTTATATTTTCATCCCAAACTTATTTAGTGTATGCTTGACAAATTGGCATGTTGTTTTATTTTCTATATTATTATTAGTTTTATTAAACTAAGCTTTATACTAAATTCTATTGGTAGATGATCAGATTCACACATATTAAAATTATTTTAAAAAGTTATTAAATAGTAAGTATTCACTAGCAATTATGTAATCAATTACTTTTTACTAGATGGCCGAAAAATATAAAGAAACCAATTCCTTCATCATTCCCAATCCTGGCATAAAAATTGGCAATTTATAATTTTCAGAAATCATTAAGTTTTTTCCCATATGAGTTTATAAATTTATCCACTGAAATTTGTTTACGAGTATAAAGGTCTGGTGGATCATTAATATCTATATTTTCAGATTCTGGATTATTATTAAAGTCATCTAGCTCAGCAGTCCTAGAGTTGAAATCTCCTGCCAATACAAAATAACTTTCACCATAATGACGTTCAATTTCAAGTATATCTATTTCTAATTGTTGGTATATGTCAAATTCAAACATTGACCCTGTAGGTGGTGCATAAACACACTAAAAATATATACATTCCTTTATATCTCTCATTAAATTTTAACCAGATAATATGATTACATTTTCTATTAATTTCTGTTACAATTATGTTGTTTTTCTATTAATAGAACCAGCCCCCCTCCACAAAAAAAAAATTCCTTAAAAGAGTTTTGTTTCCCTTATTATTCAAATAACATTAAAACTCTGAGGTATAAACCAGACCACAGGCAGCATGGTTTGAACATTGGTTGCGCCTGCTAAGCATTTTGTGAGGGAACGCGAAACAAAGGGAGCGGAAAGAGGGTCATCAAGGATCGCTGGTCAGGGTCCAGGGGAAAAGGCCCTCAAAGAAATAGTGTATTTTACATTGTCAGATTAATAATGTCGTCTCCTATAATATATAAATACCTTCCGACAACAACCGATCCATCAGCCTGTTGTTTTGTCAAAATTTTGTAAAATTATTGGTAGGATAGGAGGGTTTGCCATCCCACTAAAATTTAGTGAATTCAAGCCCACCTGGCCCATCCTACATGTATGTCGCTGCCAGTAAACCAGACCCTGCAGGGGACTGCGGATCCTCAAGCAAATGATGGAATATACTACTGTAGTGGAAGTTTTTGGTAAAACATGTTGAAAAATATGAAGAAATCTAACTACAGTATATATAAATATACTCCAAGTGGCAAGTGCATTTCTACAGCTTGACATAGAATTTTTTGTGGCTACTTTAAATTCCTAACCATACATGCTTTCTGTGTTGGCAATTTTCACTTGAATAACTACATTAGTTCTTTATAGGACAGGTCTTATCTAGGCATGAGCATCATATTTTGTAGGCTTCTTACAACTTACAAGTGAGACAATAGCCATGTATGACATGTATGACAATAGCTATGTATGACAATAGCTAATGTGTCTACATGTGGGCTGTATGCCAACAAAAAAGTTACTTGAGAAACAAAATCAGGGCAGGAAACACAAGTAGAATGCTATATTTTCAGCTAATAGACGTAAAATTTTAGCAGCTGGGTTTATTTTAATTTCATTATCGCAAATTTTATCTACATACCAATATGGACTAGTTTTCCCTCATTCATTTCAAAATAAGGAGTTTGTTCCTCAGTCCGTAATATCTTGTTTGATGTACTTTGACCAAGGTCAAGATCGGCATACTGAATTTTTTCCTACAAAATATTATACATAAACAAATAAATTCACATAAAAGATGCCATGTGGTCGGAGCAATATCTGGTAAATAAAAGGTTCTTTTATGA